CGAGAAGTGAGTGAGGAGGTTTTCGATGAGTTCAAAACATATTATGAAAACAAAATAAATGAGGAACGCAAGTTGAGAAAGAGAACGGACACCTTCTGGGGTATGTTCCGCACGCCGCGTTTGCGCAAAGTTACCATAATCATGATTATAAAATGGTAAGTTAATATAGACTGATGGAAAAAGTGTTCTTCTATAACTCACATTTCTTCTATTTTCTCTCTCTCTCTGTTCTCTCTCACTCTTCTACATGCAGCATGTTCATCTCGCTGGCTCTGGATGTTATCAGCCGGAATATGGAAGGCATGGGCACCTCACCCTTCATTCTCTTCTCTGCTACTTCCATTGTCTACATTGTGGGCTGTCTAACTATCATTCTGCTACAAAATCGCATCGGACGCAAGGGCATGGCCTTTAGTACACTCTCTGTTAGTGGGATTATTATTGCCACTAATGCTTTTATGATTGCTTTTCTTGATACCGAGCAAAATGCTACACTTTTTGCTATTATGGTTGGTCTGAGTCGGTTAGGCGTTGTGGCGAGCTATGAGGCAGAAGCGCAATATATTTCGGAATTCATACCGACAACTGTTCGCGGTCGAGGCATGGCCAATGTTCATGTTGCAGGTTTTGCCGCGGCTGCACTCAACTCTTATGTGATATATTTAGGATACTTCTACAAACCGCTGCCATCGATTTGCATGTCTGTAATAGTGTTCATGGGCGCTCTTCTATGTCTCGCATTGCCGGAGACCATGAATCAGTAAGCATCATATAAAGTTTCAATTTTTTTTAAATGCGCATTAGTCATACTCTCTTTCGTCTTCTACAGAAAATTGCCACAGACATTGAAAGATGGCGAGGAGTTCGCGCGTCATCAACGCTGGTACTACTTTCCATGCTTCGATAAGAAAAAGGATACCAAAACACCTGAGATCACGGACAGATTTTAAAACAGTGTGCTGCCGAGGAATTCTGTAACGTTCAAATTAGTGAAATTTGTGTTAGAATGTTGTATGCGTATCTGATTTGTTGTGGTTGTTATTTTAACATTGTTAGCTAATGCAAAAATTTTTAGGAAGTATGTTTTAGCAAAGCAAGTATTTTGTAGCGAATGAATGAAATGTAAGTATTTTTTTGTGTGATTAAGTATTCAATGATTTTATAGACATACATACATACATACATAAATACATATGTATAATAAATTAAAAGAATAAAAACCATTATTAAAAAATTTTATCAACTAAATTGTGCTTAAAAATTATGCGTTTTTATGGTTTGACTTATCAGGCAAGAAAATAATCAAATTCCACTTAAATTAAGGGAATTAGCTATGTAGTTCAAATATGTAGCACAAAAAGGTTGACAGAGAAAAATGGTTTTAGAAGGTTTTAGTTGAAAATATGTTGAAGACAGTCAAATAAAGAAAAATTTAAAATCTCGTATTATGGCTGAGCCTAGCTGGCTGCCGGTTTCACCAGCAATTTACGTGAACAATTATTTTTTCCCTTCCATCAGTCTTCATAATAAATTAAAATAAAATAAAATTTTTTCACTTACATCGCTTTTGTGAAACTGGCTGAAGCTATGCATGCTGAGATTTATGGAAACAAATTACACCTAATATATCTTCACCTGAGTGGTAGATCGACCTATCTCGGCTGCCAGTTCGAAAACGCTCTATCTCAAGAAACTTTTTAAGAACGCCCTATATGATTGAAGAACGCCCTCTTTCAGAATTTTATTGAAAAACACTCTATCTCAGATTTTGATTGAAGAACGGCCTATCTGAGATGGCGATTCAAAAACGCCATATCTCAGCACATTTTCAATATATTTTCAGCTAAAATAGGGCGTTTTTGAACCGAATTCCTAAATACGGCGTTCTTCAACCAAATTCTGAGAATCTTAGACGACTTATGATTTCAAGGCCTATATCATGATGCTGGTTTAAGCACTTGCGGGACAATGCTTTGCACCATTCTCAGGCAATCATATTAGAGCCTGATACATATTGAAGGATGATAATTTAGTAAAGGGCGAAAAAACTTCAAAGGCACACTTTCAGAAGATCAGGGTTCAACTACTTCGGCTGTGCTGTTTTCTCCTCACTGAAGAAAATAGCAAATAAAAGAGATGGCAAATTTTACAAACTCGCTTAAAAGTGAATTATGATTAAAGTGTTGGCATAGGCTTCTACCTTCTTGCTAATATTAATGTCCAATTAATCATCGATGTGAGATCTTATCAATTACATACATATTTAAATATTAGTCTAGAAGAGTGCTGGGCAAACTTGCATTTACTAAATGCTTAAATTGTCTTTATTAGAGCAACAGAAGCCAAGTCAACAATTTTTAGAAAGTATGTATTTCTGTTTGTCTGTTTGTATGTTTGTACGCACATGACCCGAAAACTAATGCATGGAATTGAATTAAGTTTTCACCGATGTACTGCTAGATGTCTAGCAGAGAGTTGCCATCTGTTTGAAAATTGCAGTTTAAGTAAATTGATAAGATAAAGTAAATATTGCAATACGGCTGTTTAAAGAAATCGGTTTAAGAAGGCTTACAACCGAAAATATATTTGTTTAAGGTTGCCACCTGTTTGAAAGTCTCAATTTAATTAAATTCATAAGATAAACTGAAATTTAGCAATATGGCTACCAAACTGAAGAGCTTTAGCAAATTTTACGACCAAAAATATTTTTGAGGCCGGTTGCCTCCTGTTTGAAAAATTTTATTCAATTAAAAGGCTAAAATAAATTTAATATGTATGTATCAAACAACACGCCAGGAATTTGCTAGTGTAAATAGTATAAAAAAATGCCCCGATAATATCATTGTACACAGGAGCCAATAAATTATTTAATATTTATGACATTTTTGAATAGCAGTAATGAGATTATTTCCACTTTCAGTGTTTAAATAGGAAAGAATTGTTAACATTTCATATTAAAACTATTTTTTTTGAGAGTTGTCTTTCAAACATTTTAATTAGAAGCCATATAAATAATATTACACAAACAAAATACTTGGGGAAAAATTACGGAACATCGCGCTGCCGAGTACCAAGTTCGGTGGGAAGGCTCCTATTACAAATTTGTATGCTCAGAATTGAAAATTCAGTATGTAAAAATTTCAAAAAATTTGGACATTAGCGTACTGATTGAGGAAATGAATAAAATCGGTATAAGTACTGTACTCATAAAATCAGTACGTCTGGCAACCGTAGCTCAGTGGAAAAAAATAAATTCGGGGTTTTCAGGATTTTGGGACTTCTTCTACATTATCGCGACTAATTAAGGATTTTCGAAATAGCATAAGGATAAATATTCAATACGATTTCGGGAGTTTCGGTATTCTCGAGACTATTTATGCATTTTCAAGACAATTTCAGGATTTTTGGGACTATCTACTACTTCTACTACTTCAGGATTTTAAGGGGTATATTTTCGAGGCCACTGCAGGATTCTCGACTATTTCGGAGTTTGCGGGACTATTTCAACATTTTCGGAACTATTTTGAATTTTTCGTGACTATCACGGGATTTCCGATATTCACGGGACTAGTTCGTAAATGTTAAAAGCTACTTCGGGATTTTCGAAACTATTTAATTATATTAGGGGCATACAGGAATTTCGGGACCATTTCGTTATTTCCGGGACTACTTCGAGTTTTTCGGGGTTCTCGGTACTATTTCAAGATATTAGGAATTCTCGTGAGAATTTCGAGCTTTGAGACTATTTCTCGATTTTCTAGACCTCTACAATATTCTCGAGTATATTGCATCTCTGAGTACCTGGGTACTTTAGATCAGAGTAATATTTGCGTCTGCTAAATACGTTTCTTTTTTTTTTAATTCATGATTTAGCAAATCCTTAATATCGAAGTTTTTTTACTTGAGTATTTGGCAATTACAAATACTAAGTATTGGGCATTTAGTATCCAAACAGGTACTTTAAGTACAATGGTACCCAAGTATGCCCATCACAGATCTAGAAATACCATTATACATATATAGGATCCAAATGAATTAAATATGTAAAGTGTGAAGGCTAAGGGCCGTTCTCTGAAGTAGGTTTGGGATTGGTCTGCCTTATAAGCAGAAATTTGGTTCTGAAAAAATGTGTTTTAAGAGCAGAAAAAGGTAAAGACCGACTTGAGAAAACGGCACTGGGTATAATATGATCGGTAAAACCATAGTGTAAAGACTCAGTTATGTTGAGTTTTGATTTTTAAATAAAAAACTGGGTAGTGAGAGTAGTGAGGGCGGAAGGAAATAACTGCGGAAAGCTACATACATATGTATGTTTATATGTGTAGGTTTGTATAACTGAGACTACATACTTTCGCGAATGATTTTAATAGAGTTGCCACCTATCGAAAAAATTAACGTACATACATACATTTTTATTAGCGATGTGAAATTGGATCCCTAACGCACGTAGTTAAATAAGTATGAAATGAAATATGATTGGCTTGATGTACACAGCTTGTGGAAACTGGTATTCGTAAGAAAATTCAACAGACCACCACCAGACACCACTGTCCAATGCCCACACTTCACATATGTACATATTGTACATATCTAACCATCAAAAATTAAAACATTAACAGCATGAAAAGTAGTCACTTCTTTTACTATATTGAGACCTTTATGCTTTTATAAATTTCATTTTGTGTATTTCCTTTGTTTAAAAAAATCCTTTTACAAACATACTTAAATGGTCTAAAATTACATATGTATACATACATACATTTATGCTACGTAAATATAAAAAGGAAAAAGGAAGAAAAAACTTGTTTAGAAGTTGATTAATTAGATTAACTAGAAGGACTTACATATATTTAATTAGTTTGTATACACTATAATTGCCAAAACAAAAAACTAAATATAATGAAATAAACTATTTTGTGTAAGATTTTAAATTTTATAATTTTTGCATTTATAAAATTGTATAATTACTGTAGATTAATATTTTAATAATTTTTGTTTTTTTAGCGCTTAAATGTGTATAGAATTGTTAGTTTACTTTTCGTACATATGCTCATATACAAATTATGTAATGTAGATTCATAATTTTCGCTGTTACATTACATACATACATACATACATGCACACATGTACTATGAGCATAAATATTATGCCGCATTTCCACTCATCGCTTAGATGACAAGCAATTAAATAACAATGGCACCGGAATTTTTAGTGACAACTACCGACGCGTTAATAATAAAAAACATTAAGTTCATTTCCACATGGCATTTTTTAAATGGCACCATTTTTTGGTCATTTCACTACCTAGTGGAAATCTGGCTTTACAAATATATTCAAAATATTTAAAAAAGTGGTATATATGGGTAACTCGTTTGCAGGAAGAACCTTTTATTACATAAAATAAAATGTTGTTTGCAAAAAATACTTAAAAGTGTTTAGTCAGTTACGTTTGCTGAACACAATAATAATAGTTAAAGATAAGCTCAATACAATCACAAAATTTAATCCAAAAGGATTGTTTTATAGTTGTAAGTAGTTGCTTATCGGAGTGGAAATGAGTAAATTTGCAAAAAGAAATTATTCTCCTTCTTATGAAGCGCAATGTTTCCGAGCGTAGAGATTATAGCTGTAAACGACTTTCGAATTAAGTTGGCTTTTTTGAACAGTGGACTCACTTTTAATCCTAGTAACTTGTCTCGTGTAAGTAAGCGACTCCTCGATCAATTTTAGACGCACTTCTGGCGCTTTCCAATAGAGTTGAGAATTTTGGTTTTATTAAAAGCGCAACATTACGAAAAGAGGCGATTGGTAAGGGATGGTTAATTTTTTAGCACAACAATATGCTAGTGAAACTCACAAGGTTTATGGGGATCTCGTCGGGAGTGGTTCACTTAGAATCGATCAACTTCTGGTTCTTATCGTCATGTACAACTTAACGCCCGTCGGTATCGCAGGCAAGGCTGTCATAGCAAGAACCTTCTTCCAGCTAACGTTCCAGTCTTAGGGGACCAGATTTTTAACTGACACAAGACCTAATTTATCCTAAACTAGGCTAGCAGCAATTAGTTCTTGCTCCACTCGAATCCGCTCGTACAAGTG